AAATGTCATCATTGTATCCCCCCCTAAATACGGCCCTGATCTATACTTAATAATTATACTCGAATTACTTCTGAGCTGAAGTGATCACAAAGAGACCATTTCTTCTACTATGGCCAACCAATGTTGTATGACGGCTCAATGTATAGGCAATATAGGTACATGGCTGTGTAGAATAATTAAATAAATAAAATCCTATTAAATATTTTGTTTTATAGCTATTCTCCCAAACATGCAGTTATTTTCTCAACACGGCATACTTCTAAAGCTTACATATTTGTATAGTATTGCATATTGTTATTAAATGCAAGAAATAAAATAAAATTAAGTAAGCTATCAATAAATGACACGCCATTTACATATTATAATACTATATTTAATTGGTGCTATTTTAAATTACATCGCAATGTCATTTCATCTTTGTTTTTTTATTTAATTAATCATAAAATATCAGGATTTGCGCTTCGTAAATGTCTATTATATTATAGTATTTTTATTTTTATTTTTATTATAAACGCAAACAAGAGGGAGCATTTTTTAAAACACCTATAATTTCTCTCCATGTTTTAAAATTATTAGTGTTATTATTAGAAGCAATATATTTTTAAATTATGTAGGTACGGTATCAGTTTAATAACTGCACTTTCATCTCCAAGGAAAAATTGAATATATACTTATGTACTATAGTTATGATATATAATATTTCATAAAAATATTAATGAATACAACCCATATAAAATATACGTGTTGCAAATATTAAAAGGCTTACAGGCAAACTTCAAAACTTAAAGAAAACTTCTCAGTAGCCACATATCTATAATATAATGAGAGGAAATATCAACCGAGATGCCACGAAAAATTATTCATGTCTTAAAGTTTTGTCGATTTGTCTTCAGTACAAGCAATGTGGGCATAGAGGTGAACGTTTAACCCAAGTGGTTGAATGTACAAACTACAATTTTGGAACGTAGTTTTGAGACATATACACCAATTATATTAAAATTAAACACTAACAGCAATGTGGTTCAAACTAAAAGTGTAATACTGAGCATTTTCGTCCTATTATAAAATAAATGCTGACATAACAATTTATACTCGCCTTCTCACTGCATAGGAACGTACAAATCTTTAATCTATTATGATTATGTACATATGAGAGAGTTTAATTAATAATAAAATATAATGTTATATTATTAGAAAGTATTATATATTACTTGAAAGATGTAATTGTAAATGTTTGGCACCACTTGTGATGTTCAAATTCTTTTAAAACGTGTATTTAAAAAATTTTTGTAAATAAATTATTATATACATGTCTGCTTTAAAACAATTTAGTCAAAATTTTTTTTTTAAACCAAATTACATTGTTTCACCTTTAACAATGACAAACTATAGGTTCTTTTTATAATAAATCCACAAACTGCGTACCCCACAAGTTTTAGTCTGCAAAATCTACGTAATGTATAAAGTTTAAAACAATAACTGAGAGCCAAATATTTTGTTGTAAAATGAAACAAAACATAAAAACTATTCCTTGCACGATAAATTCAACTTTGAGATTTGAATATCTCTTGTGCTAAATAAAGTTTTAAGTATATAATTTTAATATTTAGCCTAACGGTGTGCATTACAATTAATAGTATTCGCTGGCGTTTAATTCATTTAATGTTATAATAATCAATAAGACAGTCATTTTCAAATTAAAAATAAATATTTGGTGAAATAATTAATTTTAATACAGAAATACTATAGGGGTCACATTTAAATTAAGTTTGTAAATATATGTTATGTATTATTTTTTGAGTTTGTTAAAATTATGAAGTACATTGATTAAAAAAAAATATTATAATAATTTAAATTCAATTTTGTTTTGTTATAAATATAATATTGTCTCACAAGTTACAACTTAACTATATTCTTTGAAATATAAGATTGTGCATTAGTATTGTATTAATTAAATTTTGGGTTATAATTATTATCACTGATTGTGCGCAATCGAAACATTAAGTTAAAATAATCATCATAAAACCGGTAGAGTTGTATTTAATTTTTTTTAATAATATTTAAATTTATGTTACATTTTATATTTGTATGTACATTATTATGTTTATATAGCAATTATTAAATTCAAGAACGAGAAGTGGTTTGTTTGAGTGTCATAATAATGTGTATTTCAGAATATCTCTATACTAGTATATAATTTATTTTATGCATAAATGAATTTTTAAATTCGGATTTTTTGCAATTAATTGCATTTTTTTAAAGTCACCATCATATTAGTTTGTATTGGAAATTATGCGGATTATGATAATACTTGCCTACTGCTGATTATCGTCTTATAATATTAAATTTAAAATAAATAATAATACTAATCTTGCTTAATGTATAATATTACGTATAGGTGCATTGTACCGATGTAAAATATTATCTACTTCCGTTTATTTATACTACAATAATAATAAATGCATAAATTATCACTTACTCGTGTACAGACTTGCAGGTAAGAACTCAGCAGTCTGACAAAAAAGTTATGGCATTATGGTTCAGTGTGATTTTAAAACAATTCAATTCTTAACATTATAATACATTTTTAAACAAAATAAAATATGCGTTGGATAAAATAATTTTTTTCATTTAAAAAAAGAAAACTCTTTATTGCGCGTAGGATGCATACATAGCTTAAGTGAAAAAAATTTAAATTGAAAGCTCTAGTGTGATCAATGTACCTATGTTTTCTTCACGTGTCTTCTTTATTTTAGTTCAATTCAATTGAATTACGTTTTTATATTCATCAGTTATTGTTATCTACCCAGTTATTCTATGACCAAATTATCTATACAATAGTATAACGCCGTAGTGATATACTCATTGATAACTGATTGTTCATTGTGATTTGGGTTTTACAGGGACGTATTTTAATTTATGAACATAATATTCATGCAATTTTGATATTTACCAAATAATCAAATAAAATGATACTGTTGATGTAATTGTCAGGGGTCCAATTAATACAATGAATTGTATTTATTATACTACTATATAAAACAGAACCTCCTTTTTTGTATGTACGCGCATAACTCAAAAAGTACCCAACGGATTTTAGTACAGTTTTCACTAATCAATAGGTGTAGATTCAGGGAAGGTTTTAATATAAAATTTATTCGTATAACTTGATTAATAAAATTAAAAAATTATTAGTGCCATACATCTGTATGTACTTAAATTGCATACAATTATCGTCCCATGCACAGATTTATCTTGCGCAGTGGTACTTTTATAAGAGATGTCAAACACATTGTCACGATTTCGAATCACGGTATGAGACACTCATCTTTTGCATTGTTTTTCCGCTTTTTACTTAGCTGTAAGTTTTCACTCAACGATTATTATATCGGTTGTATGGCGTGATCTTTGTTTTGTTTGTAGAGACATAATAATTGAGTTATTTCAGTATACAGACAACACATTAATTATTGTTGTCGATGAGCATGGTGTGGGGGAACTCCATCGCGTTTTTTTTTTGTTGTCTAATTTACTGGACCTAATTGAAAAGGTTTACCCAGATTTATATAATATTTCGACTAAAACGTCAAGTTGGTTTCAAGAAAGGGAAATATTGCCACCAAATAACGATCAAGTCAATAAAATAAATGACATGAAACTGTTAAAATTCAATGCACCAACAAAAGTGTGCTATTCCGTTACTGATTTAGATACAGAGGAGGCGATACATTATCCAACTGAATTTTTAAATTTTTTATCTCCTTCAGGGACACCACCACACAAATCAATTCTAAAGGTAGGTTATCCTATAATTTTACTTCGTAACTTAAGTCCACTAAAATTTTGCAACGGTACAAGATTACAAATAAAAAATCTTTAAAAACTGTCTGCTTGAGTGTATAGTCCTTACTGGCTGTAGAGCTGGGGTCTTGGTTCCTAGATTACCAATGATACCAACCAATTTGCCATTCCAGTTAAACGGCTCCAATTTACCGTGAAATTAAGCTTCGCAACGACTATTAATAAGGCATAAGGTCAAATTTTAAACGTTACAGGTTTAGACTTAACCTCCGGTGGTTTTCCCATGGTCAATTGTACATAGCTATGTCAGGTGTCACATGCAAACAAAATCTATTTGTGCTGGCCCCAGAAGCGAGGCACTAGCGAGTGGTGCATCCAGAAATATTTAGTGTTTAAGACAAATTGATATAATTGACAAAAAAAATAAAAATCTTACATAATAACGAAACAAATATGTTCCTCACTTATATATGAAATCATACAAAAAAAATTAACCAAATTAAATATCTGATATAATTTATATCAAACTTTTCACATATTTCTAAACATATATAAGTGTACTGAAATCTAGCAATAGCAAAGCATTGCCGGTTCAGCTAGTTTTCATATAATAAGCGGATTCATAAAATATAATTTTTCATATTTTTTATATTTGATGCACGGTACCCAAGTGAAAAGTGAAAATGTATTATTAATTTCTCAGTGTATTTATTTATACACACTATTGTGTGTAAATACGAGTGCATATATTTTACAATAATTATCATGAAGTAGAAACTTTTTAACTTAATATTATGTTTACAGTCGAAATAAATTAACTGTAATGCTTCTACAGTATAACAATTTAACACTGATTCAATAATTGCAATTTACTGATACCTTCAAAATTAAAGGCTGATTTGATTTTCTATTGAAAATGTATAACTCTATAACTGTTTATTTATGTTCCTTTTCGATAGAATGTAGTACAGTTTTTGATATACAAATACTTGAAATATAATATTAACAAATATTTAAATATTTATTCAAATTGATGACTGTAATAATAATTGGTACGGTCTTTATAATATATATTAATATTATATTTAATGTATATTTGGGAGTGGTAGTGATGTTTTATGTGAATAATAGTATTAAATAACTCAAGTCGTTTGAACAAAACATATTTATATTGTTAATTTGCTTTATAAATAGGTATAATTTACATAATATTTATAGAGCTTTAATAATATAGGTCGTATTAGGGTAACTGTTATACGTTTTGATAATCTACACAAATACAATATTTAACAATAACTGTACATAATAGTTTATTATGAATAATAATAAAAATTTTATTTATAGAATTGTAATTATAACATTAAATACAAACTCAGATAAGTTTACTGTTGTGTTGTGAAGCTGCACAAGTGCCAAATTTATATACACATATCATTTATTATATGCATACTGTTATTTGAAAAAAAATTGATTAATATTCCATTGAAAAATGCCGTCTTATGACCACATCTTGCCTCTAAACCTTATCTTCGTTATCGCCTGGACCTGCGGTCGATCTTACAAACTGTAACATATAATTCATATTAATTTATCTTATTTTCGATAAAAGCGGTTTTTAGAAAAGTCAGAAAATGATATTCAAAATAGGGGTTGTCATTAAAAAAAAAAAAGTTGTACTGGGCGTGCGCAAAATACATGAGTTAAAAAAATGTAACTCATAGGAATTTATGATACATTAGTCTAGTTTAATGTCTCACAGACAGAATTGAAAAGTATTTTCTTCTGGGAAATTAGTGATGAAGTGTACCCTGTTTCCGTGAACACGTGGTATTTAGTTTATTGTACTTGACTAAATAAGTAATATTAAAAATTACTTAAGAATTAATGGAATTTTGAAAATTGTGCATATTGTGTAAAAAATTCTTGTTAAGTAATGTGACTAATTTTTTTAAAAGTTAATTTAAAGTTTTAATTAAATAAGAACACACAACATAATAAGCAGATTTTATTTAAATTTTACATCATAAAAAGACTAAATTTAATTTACCAAGCTTCACTATATTGTATACACAACACATTCATAAAAAATATTTTCAATCTATGTATCTGTGTACTACATCTTTAGTTATTATTACTATACTGCTAATGACAATAATAATTGTATGATGGATTAATAATAACAACCCTTTTCGAACTATTAATATTTTTATAAATGTAAGTTCACTAATATAGTAATATATGTATCTATAAATGAATAAATTGATAAATAAATCACTACGTATAATATTGTAATATCAACTACTGTAGTGCGCTTGCTAGTTGCTGTTATATGCATATTATTATTATGATAAAAACTAACATAATAAACGTAGGCACGTATATACAATCGATGTCTACGACAGTGTAATATTGCATTAAAATGCATATATGCATTATAATATAATATTTATTTGTTTTGTATTATTATGCGTTAGCACATGCAAAGGAAATAAAAACTATTCAATAACGATCCATGCGAATAATACCAATAATATCTTACAATATACGCAAAGGTGGAGATACACTCCTATATGAGATAAAAAATGTATAAAAAAAATTTTGTTGGACCAAACGTATATGAGGACTAGTAAGAGACTTCCAGTCACCCTTAAGCAATTTTTTTTGTTCGTTATGACATAGCCATACGGATTTATTGCAAATTCTTACCGTGTTAAGACTTGTTGGTGAAATTTGTTACAGAAGTGCAACAATTTAACTATCATACACATATAAGTGAAATGTTCATAAGCTTTTATAACAAAATGTATTAATTCAATGCGGATATAATCTAGACAGTATTTACATAATATATGGTAAAAACAACAGGGCCTATATCTATCATAATAGTTTGTGTTGAAATTCAACGGTTTTTAATAATATACCTTCAATAATTTATTATTATACTTTATTGTTAAGCTTAATTGATTGTATTGTATGAAAGTTATTGTCCCATCAAATAATTAAAAATCCGAGACTGACATGTAATTTAAAAGAGAATGTTATATGTAGATGTCTTGATATTTAAAAAAAATAATAATTGCACAGCGTAGAACGAACAATTTAAATGTCTAAGACCAAATTAAAAAAAAAAAACAAGCATTTCTTTATTCCTAACGACCCGTGTTTTTCTTTCAAGATTTGTTCAAATCTCAATAGTTTTTTTAATAATTACATTAATCATTTCGTTCTCTCCCGATGTAAACCACGATAAAACTAACTAAATAGTATTGGTATATTTTTACTGATTGTTTTTTTTTTTTTTTTAAATGGTGGAGGTTGATTTTGATTATTTTCTTGAATTATAACCATTACAAGTCGAATAAATGAGTATTATCTGATTATAAAACTGTTAATTAAGTATGCCATTTGTATCAAATATTTAGTTAACCAGCATCAAAAGTTTTTTTTAAAAATTTTTTGTATCTTAAACTGAAATTGAAAGAATAACACTATATTGATGCACTTGTTTGATGATCGAATCTGAACCTATACTGTATAAGAGGGCCAGTTCGGCGACGTGATTTCATTTATCTTTATTATTTGCTCAATTATATATGTTATACTAGCTGAAAGTTTAGGTGGAGTACACCCATGAATTTATGCAATAATTCTAAACAAAAAGTAAAAAATGTGCGAAACATGTTACTTTATAATAAAATCTTATAACTAGATCTCAATTTGTTCCATTGCCTGTGGCACTTAATTAGCGCTTTAACATCTAATAAAATCCAAATTCTAATATTTTCAGTTGTTAATTCTATGTGAAAGTTAATTTGAGAAAATAATCATTTATTCCAATTTATGATTTATACATTGCAACAGATGAACTACCTATAAAACTTCTACCACTTTTACAATTTTAAAAATGATTAATTTAAATATAATTTTATTTTAAGCCCGCCAATATTATGTATAATCATACAAATAGATTTGACTTTATTTGATTTAATATTTTATTAGCCTAATATTAACCATTATTATACTAAAAATAGTTTAGGAATTGCCAAAATATCTTAGACCCTGATTTAATAGAAGAGCTAGTATTTTAAAAAAGAAATGAATATATTTAACATTTAAACATGTGTTGTGTATTCAATGATATATGAGAGCAAATTGTGAACATAATATGGTGCGTGTATTCGTTATTAAAAATCCAGATTCAGTAGTTTTTTCCTAATCTTGAAAATAATCTTGTAAACAAACAATTATCACTAACCTGGTTAAGAAGTGTAAAATATATAATATTGTATTGATATTTCATTGATTTTATTATATTTAAATAATACCGTGACTATATAACATATATTTTTTTTTCTGAGGAAGTTTATATTATTACAAATAAATAATTTTACATTGTTATTGTATGAGCACTAAATCAATATATTTTATTTTGAGCGGAAATGATTGAATCTGAGACCAAACTTGATTGTTAGTTGGACGGCGTACCGTATAGGCAAAATAGGTACATTAGTGTGTAGGAGAAGCTTTGAATATCTATTCATAATGTTATTAATTATTATGGCAGCCGAGTAGGTAATTAAAAAATGGTCAGTAATACTTAGTTACGACAGTCGTCGTATTAAATAGGTACAGAAGGTACATAACTTTTTTAAATTTTGCCCCACCTTTCCTATATTATAACTTATAATATTTATAGTTTTCCTAGAAACTTATATTAAAATATAATACTAAAAAAAAAATAAATAAAGTCGAGTGTTGTCGTCTAATATGGCTTTCATTATAGTTAAAAAAGGTTTAACACAGTAATTTTGAGTACAGAATAAGGTTGCATGACCAAGTGATAGATAATGTGTCAACAAACATATTGGTTTTTGGTTCTTTTGAATATGAATGCCGTGCAAGAATAATAGACTCAACCGAAATTAGTTGTACTCTGTTATTTTAATATAAATCAATCGTTTTATTCAACCATAATCAATCGTATAGTTAATACAAAATAAAATATCACAAACACATTTTAGTATCGCACCAAAATATATTATTAATATTAAAAACTCACCATGTAGTTCATATTTGGAATTAAATTTATAGTTTAGTTGGAATTATTTTTATTATTTTTTTTTTAAATTTAAAAATAGGCCTTAATTACAAGGGTTATTGGTGTTTCCGAACAAACATATTACATTTTATAATTTCTAAAATACATTAGTCATTACTACTAAAGTTATATACAAAATATCTCAAAATGATAAATTAAGTTTTAGGTCATTCAAAATACTGTAGTAAAAAATACAAAATACTGTTTTGGTAATGTTTTAAATTTAAATGATAATTAGCTGTCCAAAGTGAAGAAATATTGTGTTATTATAACAACGTACTGCAAAATAATATTTTTTTTTTACTGGTCATTTAATTATATATAAATATTTATTTATTTTCCGAAAGGTGTTAGAGGTTTTCAAAATAATAGAAAGAAAGAAATGGACACGGAATATACGTATTTAAGTAAAATAAAAAAAATAATAAATAATAAAACAGTTTGGGAAGACGTTAAAGTTATGAACAATTGAAAGTAGGTAGAACATAAAGTTGGAGTTATTAGTGAATCTCAGCTAAAGTTCGAACGGTATATGTATGATCAAAGAACTTAAATTGAACTTTCTCAATAGCATACGAATAATAATTTAAACAGAAAACCAAATCAAAGGGTAACTTAAAATCATTGAACTAAATACAAAACCATCGGCATTCTCTTTAAATGTTGAATGTTATCAAAACCATTCGGTACGGCATAAATAAAGCCAAGGTGCATTTTTAATTGTTCTTTCCTTGCATAGTATAAAGTAAAATATACGATAATGGCAATAGTTAATAGACACTTATCTCAGGTTATTGAACTAATATAATCTATATACCTATATTAATCTAATGAAATAAAAAGGTAATCACAAAACTTGCATAAGTCAAAGAGTTTCACTTAGAATATCACGTAGGAATACAAATATACATTATGGATATCAAACCACTTTGTGACTTCCCAGACTAATGTTATAAAGTCAAATAAGTCAATATCGTTTATCAAACATACATAGAGGATGTAATATAATTTTGAATACTGGTCAATACTACCCCGAATAATCAAACGTCACGATAACAGCTATCATAATAACAGTGTATAATACCAAAGTAAGCAATAGAAATTGTATAAAGCCAAAATATTTTCAAAATTAAAATATCATGTCTCGTTTATTCGTAAAATATGTTAGTATGAATATTTGGTAAAAATATTTAGGTTTTCAAGACTATTACTTTTTGAGTTATAACAAAAAAAAAAATGTTGCGATTTTGTCAAAGACTGGATTTGCGTCAAAAATCCCGTTAATGCAGTTTTTTTTTTAGTTTTTCTTGGTTATTTGTATAAATAATGTGAATTTTTTACTTTTCATATCTCAAAGTACAAACACGATAAAATGTTCTACCAATTACCCTCAAATTGAAAATCAAAGCTTTTTACTGCTCCAAAAGATAATGAAACAGATAAAAAAAAAATACATCATTATAAAACCAATTCATCGCTATGCTAAGATTCTAAATTGGACTTGATTTAGTTTTTCATAACTAAGTAATTATAGGATTCGATGAAATAAAAATGTTTAAAGTCGAGAAAAGTGAATTAATTTAAAGTTATAATAGATAATGTACGCTCTTAGCGTACTTACCCGTCGTTATTGCTAGCACTCAGATCCGTGACCACCCGGGTTTTTAGCAATACATCCTTGCCACACAAACAAAAACGTGTTTCAAATCAACCATTTTCCCCTAAAAACAGCCAATGGTCAAAAATGCTGAGCTTTAGATCAATAAAAAAAAAAATAGATTATGCTTTTAATTAATTGTATTAGTGATAGTTATAATCATTTATCCACAAACAAGATTATTATATTAAAATTTATGTCTAAAAATAAAATGGGAAAATTATCAGTTCTTAAGGTATTAGTTGAATTCCATTACAAGTGAGAATGTACAATAGTTATATTATAATATTATTATAATATATGAGTCGAGATTATTGGGTTTATTAATGATGCGCAGTAAACAATGATTAATACAATATTTATTCAAAAAGCAATTATTGAAACTGGTCATTTTCAAGAGCGAACGATAATAATATTGGCTTCAACTACGTTATCGACTCTAAGGGTTGAAAGTTGCGTCCAAAGGTAATTTGTATCCAACGGACAAGGAAGTAATACTCTCAAAGTTCACTTAGATGGTTACAATTTAATGGTGTTTCTATTCAATTTTGATGCTTCCACTAAGCAAACTTTATTATGAATATTATCAAGTGTTTTGGCAAATGTATTTATGGATGTAAGTGACACGGAAACGTAATGCAATACAAAATTTGAGAGCACGTTCAGAGAACAAAATTAAAAATTACGATGTTTTGAAATGGAACAATATTCATCAATATACATCATATACCTAAACTTAAAACTTACATAATAATATAATATTAATTAATTTAAATTTAAATATCGTAAGCTTTTACATTGCGTATCTGCTATAATTAATAATTATTAAAGTCATGATAAACGTGGTTGGCTGGTTTTACAGTTCCCATATCTAAATCTATTTTCTTTAGGAAAGTTTTAACAAACAAAATCCACTACTCAACAAAATTATTATAATTTGTTTTACTTACATAGTACATTTATATTTAAAATATAATATGATTTATATTAAGTTTTTTTTTTAATTTTCAAAGCATATTTGATTTTCTAAAAGCATACGATGAAGATTAAAAGAAAGTTTTTGTAGTAAGTTTTAATCCCTTGTTATTAGTTTTAATTAATTCTAAAAACCTAGAAACATGAGTTATATAAAAAAAATAAAAATAAATTAGGAGATAGTAAATTATCAGCTCCTTAAAAAACATTATCACGTCAATACTCGTAAATTATGAAATATCAAATATATCGTTTAAAAACGATTTTAATGATTGTTACTGAGGTTAAAAAGCAAGATGAACACAATAAATCATAAGAGTAATTGGTTTTTTTCATTTATTTAAAATTGTTCTAATTTTCTGACTTTTCATAAAATGTTTCAATTTCATTATATATCAAGAAACACATCTCGCGAGAGACACTCTTTATTTATCTAAATGTTTTATTGTAAATTAATAAATTACTATTACAGATAAAGCTACTTATGAAATATGAAAGTAATAATATTTTATTTAATACTATTATCTAACGCTGTATTATCATTTGCTTGTTATTGATATTATTTGGTATTTTTTTTACAAATAACTTTATACCATATAATATGTTCGATACATATTATATAAAAAATGCAACATGCTTTATACTTTTATACACGGATTGTAAGTTTTTTTTGATATATTTGTGGGTTTTCAGTTTTATTTCTTTGAAATTCTTATTTTTAACCTTCACAGAGCTGTCAATTAATTTATCTTAAAGTCCAACAAGTAGCATTCGACCTCTAGTGTATTTTTGTTTTCGCTATAAAAAAAAATAATCGTCGATTTCAATTTATTCCATGACACCTGCCATTACCTATTGTTTATTTTCAAAGAGATAACTGAACATATATCACAGTAAAAGTCTAAACCAGGTCAATTTTAAAAATTTCGGAACTTCATGTAAGAAAAATGATATCAATTGAATGATCTATACGCTATAGCCTATGTCAACTCAGTTTAATTAAATTAAAAATTCAGTTATATATTTATATACACTTATAGTACAAACTTTAAATTCATTGTTTTTTCAAATTTTTAGAAAATATAACATTTGAAATCATAATTTATACAATTCATAAGTTAATGTATTTTTATTTTTTTAATGACATACTATATAATTTTCATCAGATTATGTATGCATTATTAGTAAGTAATCAGTAAAAATGAATTGAAGTGGTTTAAATTAGGCATGAATAAAAAATTATACATAGATTGTTCTTTATAAGATTCTTAAAAAAATCGAGATGACGAAATCATCCAAAATGTAAGACGCTGCAGAGTCACTCTCTCGATTTTAACATGCTTGGTTCTAATGTTTTGATTAAGTGAAAAAGGAGACAAAAGTACTAAACACGTTTTTATAATACATTTTAAGCTCAGATAAACGATTATGTCAATCGGTTCTCATTGACATATTTTATAGTATTTGTTTATAGAGTAGACTTCGTGACGAAGCGGATGATAAAGTTCAAAAGTTAGATTTGACCAATACATACAAATAACTACTTTTTCCTCTTCACTGATATTTCTTCACAAACCTAATAACTAGTGAAATTGGAATTGTATTGTGAGATGGTTTGGGTAGAAGTTTTGTTATAGACGATGTGTTTTCTGAAATTTAAACTATTTATCAACCGAATACTGAGATTTATTCAATGATTGCATTTATAGAAAAAAATTACTTTTGGGAGGAGGCAATAATGCTTTATAATATTTTGTAGTGATCAGAAACAACACATGATTTATGTGTTTTACGCTATCATTAAATATTTTATGATAATTGTGTATTTTAATTGCATTGTTTTTTACACTCGAACAAAACACATTCTAGTAATTTGTTGGAATTCATTCCAATTATTTTAAATTAATATAAAAAAACGAGTTGTACCTACAGGCTATAGACTTTATACTAACAACTATAGTTGTAATTAGGTATAAACCTAAACAATTTTTTAATAGTGTGTCCGTGTTCAGTATTGTTGACCTCATAATATATCGTCTATTTCGCTAATCATTCGTGTTGGTTCGCCCTTTAAAAGCTTCCGATAACATGTTTATCTACTGATCATCGTGTTGGTTGTATGCCATTATTTATTAACACACGCTATAGTCGCAACAATATATTTCTATACTAGATTATTAGTCAAAATGGACAATCGCGGTAAAGGTATAACGCCAAACGAATCCAAACAACAGATTAACTACCTCTATAATAATGGGAATTAAATATTTCAACACATTTACCATAGTTTATTTGAAGATGGAACACAAATTATTCGCCTTTACAAAATGATAAACCAAACTGTCGAGTTAATATTGCAAAAACAAAACTAGTCAATCATATTGTTCAACAGCATATTTATAATTTAATTCAATAAAAACGATTAAAATTCAATTGCTGTTATTTTTTTCCCTATTTCAATCAAAAATAGTTCAATTCTATTTGTATACTTTGATGAAGTGAAAACACCTAGCGCAGTTTGTACTCACATAAAAGCATATATGTTTAGAATAAACACAAATATTTACAAAGAAATTAAATTCATACGCAGACACTATGTAAAAATGGTACTGACAAGCTTGAAAAACACACAATGAGAACATTGTAACGGGAATATTAATTTATGCTACACAGTTCAGCAAACAATGAGAACTTTAAAAACAATTAACAGTTCATTTTAGAATACCAAAAGAGACTAATTGCAATACAACGACGATAAGAAAAAAGTATCATACTTAATACCAGAATAAAGGGTTTAATTTATATCCTAATTTCTAGCACAGTGTGACTTGTAAGTAATATTTGATGAACTCATATTTGATATTTCTGTTAGAAGTAATAAATCAGCTTCATGACTTCATATCTAAATTTCTCGTACAACATCATATTATTAAATCAGCGATTACTAGGTATCAGTGGTTTCAACTTTTAACTAGGGATTTAAACCTTAATAACTTACAAGTTATCAATACAAATTTAAATCTGTAGTTGAATAGTTAAACGTAATATAAGTATCTAACTAGTCATGTAGCACTTCGATAAACTTTCTAATTAATAATTATTTTTAAAATCCTTACCGAATACTAAAACAATCAACATATACATATCTAAACATGCTTAGTCAAATCATGTATACATTTACATAATAACAACTCTAATTGCTATGTGGTAAACTTAAAACAAATTAATATTGTACAACAAAAATATACAGGGTGGTCCATTTAAGAGGGTGATCAATTTAAAAGGGTAGGTACACTAATCATCTCGAAATTAACTTTTTTTAAATTTTTTTTTTTTTAAACTTAGATTTTTGATAAAAACAGTTTAATATTTGAATATTTTTCAACCTTATATTTGTTGGTGAAACCACTGTAAACTTTTGATTTTCAATTGGGAACATATGATAAAAAAGACATAAATTAATAAAACTATTTTATTTATGAATATTCTCATTAAAATTTTTGTTTTTCGTTATTTCGTTTGCGAGGTACAGCTCCTCAAAGTTTGATAGTTTAAGGAGGTGTTGATTATACTATTTATTTATTTGTAAAGACGTAAAGACTAGGAGCTTTGAGTGATGAAATCGATAACGTTCAACCTAAGGTAACAATTAATAAATGATAACTATTGTACTCTGAATCCATATCATTAATTAGCCTACCGACTAATTAGCCATACCGTATTACCTGCAAAAAAGGTATTTGTAACACTATCAACTATAACACCTCCTTAAACTACCAAACTTTGATTAGCTGTACCTCGCAAACTAAATAACGAAAAATAAATATTTTAATGCAAAAATTCATAAAATAAATATTTTTATCTATTTAATACCTTTTTATTATATGTTTCCATTTAAAAATCAAAAGTTGATAGTGGTTTCACCAATAAATATAAGGGTAAAAAAAATTAAGACATTATTATACAGTTTTAGAAAAGCATAAATCTAAAAGTTTAAAAAAAAAATTCAAAAAAAGTGAATATTTTTCGAGATAATTATTGTGCCCTCTTAAATGGATCACTCTGTAGTTTTGAACTATATATTTGTATGAATAACGGACTCTATATTACCATTCTAATAGAAGTATAATATCATCATATCATTTTTGATACCACAATAATAAGTGACTTGTCTGGAGTAGGTATATAAGTTTTATTTAGGTAATACAAAAATAAAAATCCCAAATGTTTAATATAAATAAAGGTATCTAAGAGAAGCACTGATTTCCGAAACACTATAGCTGTAGTATATCCGAATAACCAAAGTGTGGTTAAAGAAAAACAAAAAGAAACTATATTATAAATTCCAAATAAGACCTAAATATTATCAAAATCTAATGTTAGCAAAAAACAGTTATCTTTTAAACAAAGATACAAATGTGACAAATAGATTATGGATAAATATGAACACAAAATGCCACTAAATAAAAATAACTTTGCACAGATGAGAAATAAAAATCTGAAGGAACGAGAAAATAAATTGTGACATCAATATGCACTTTATAAGAAAATATAATATCACGCTAGACTTACACTACAAATTCTAGAAACAGATGTTACCCAACATACAAAAGCTGAGTAAAAATGTCCACTCTAAAAGTTTCCACATTACAGGTATAATATACCTACTCATATTCGTTCAAAATGAAATTTCATGGAAAAATCTTGAAAATCATAAAAAACAATTAGATCCTAAATTATATTATGTGAAGTAAAAATGTTATAAATTATAAGCAATATGAATGATAAAAAATAAAATGTTTCAATAAAAAAATACGTTAGGTAAGTAGGAAATTATAGCAAAATACATTCGTATTATTTATACAACATAAATCGTTAAATTAGTAGTTTACCGTAAATCACAATATGATGTATAATAGTTGCCATAACACACTAGGTATAAAAATTATTGTTATTAAAAGTATCTCCATGTATGGCTTAAAAAAAATGATACATTTTACACAAGTACGGTGACGTGGTTGCGATAATCCGAAGTATACATGTAAATGTAAGCCCTCGTCAGTAATCTGAACACGGTCTTATCGACCATAAATTCCCCATAACCATCAAACACATACAGCAGTCTTAAATAATCTTCATGAGAGATTTTAGTGCTTTCCATCTACAAGAAAAGCCACTTTCGCATAAAATAAAAACAGAAAGGTACTCATAAAGAGTTACCACTACTGATTATTTCGATCCAATAAATACATATTTTGGGTACGTCATTTTTATTCAATATCTGTGCTGTGTGTAGTATTATACTATAAATATTTGTAATATTATATCCAACGAAATACACATATATGGAATTTACAAATAAACATTATTAAAAAAAAATAATATTTAGTATATAGAAAAGTTGAACGATTTTATAGTGTCGCTAGGAAAGTAATAACTTATTACTATAACAATGATACAACTGAAGGACATACTACGAACAGTAGAGACATAATTATTTGTATGCTGTGTTAAAACATCATAATTTATGTTATGAAGATATATTTTAACTTAAAAACGTATCATAATGGTAATTCGTTTTAACAACACTGACGAAAATGATGAAGTACAAAACTACAAGACTACAAAATTACATGATTACGTAGACAACAAACTATTTTTTCGTTTTATCACAGAACAGTGAATTTGTATTGTATATTTATCGATCTGATACTAATTTACTTTTATTAAATCAAACGGAAATGTTTTATTGTACATAATGAACGTACAGTGCTCATTATGAAGAAACCACCAAAACGTGGTTATCAAATGCATTGAACATGATTTTAAAATAACAAAATGCCTCCTTGTTTTTTCAGTGATGGTTTCGGGCAGAAAAGGTTAATATTGTTTGGCATAGAATGATGTAAGTCTTTGATAAAATATCAAATTACTATACCGGAAGTTCAGCACTGCCTCTATATTGTCTTAGTCGAAGTGTTCCAAACGGTAAAATCTTAGTTATTACTAGGCCCGGGGAAAATTAAAATAAAATACTTGTTGCTGCGGGTAAATATGGTGTGTATTGGTTGAAAAAACAAAAACATAGATCGATTTAGTCGCGTCAAACTACAACTGTAAGCGATTTGAAATGTTACCGCGCGACATCCGCTGTCTGCGGGTGCAGCGCGACCGGATACCGGAAATGAATCGGTGGAAAAATGCCAAAGCACGCATGATCGACCGGTATACCGAGTACATGATATTGCGATACCTATACAATACGGGTTAACCGTTACGGAACACCAGCGAAAACCGACGGGAAAGCCAACAGCTGCCTCCCGAATCGAATCCGGGACCCTCCGTGTACGGTGGACCGTGAGTAAATCTGGCCAGTCACCGCGTAGTGCTTGAGTTGCGAGGGGATGATGTGGGCTCAGCGGCATTTCGTCGGAATTATTGTCAAAGGTCGCATATTCGAAAACATTTGCTACCCATGGTCTCCCGGCCGTTAGGGACCGATGATGTTACGTCCGTCGGAGTAGATACCTATATTGTAATAGTAAAAGACGCTGCCCAGAATAATATTTTCGTTGGACGACTCGCGGCGGCATATTATACACAATTATGCAGGTTGCGGTTGGTCAGTGGCGCGTGCAACGTGCAAATAGTAAACAGTGGCTAACCTGACGTACCGAGACCGTTGTTGCTGTGTACGAGTTGGCCCTCGTCCGGAAAAACATGAATTGCCACCGTCTCTTGATTTGGGCGACGACCTGTGAAGAAAAATCAACATACACGGCATGACATACTGCAGTATAATATTCGAGCGGACTCGGGGAGCACTGGCACAGTGGAAAAGCGCCTTGGATCCGAAACTCCTTCCCCTCCTCGTCACCATTGGGCCGTATTTGAATATGATTTATATCGATTAATTAGTTGTATTAATGTTTAAATTTTAAATAAAAGTTCAACGACAACATTATATTACATCTACCTATATTATATATGGATACAAAGTAAAATTTACACTAAATACTCTCTGCTCGAGAAAATTATGATTTGCTTTAATATTGTGTCCGGAAGTACCATTGGCTTATGCGCAATATTATTTGGACGAACGAATCGTGATGATTGCAAAAACGGAATAATGTACCGACAAGCTTACGGATTACCAAGAACTGCAAATGTTTCCCGGTGTTTATACAAGTTCCGTACCATACCTAATATTAATACTTATAAGGCACGGACATTAAAATAAGTTCTATGATTATGATTTATGGCCGTAAAGTATAATGTATTGTATACAATATAATATACAATCAAAAAATTCACAAGCGCCGAGCTGCGTAATCCACGTTTATGGTAGGTGCTTTATCTGTTTATGGCGTGTATTTTGAATGCATATCCATTATATCTCACTCGGATCGAAATGAACGCATGTTTTGTAATAAATCATTCTTATTTTCTTACTTGAAATATTTCTTGTACAATTAGATTTAATCCAAAACAAAACACACGGTTCAACAATAATGTGACACGTTAAAACTTTCTTTTAAGTTTAACGTGTATAAGCATGTGTTTTAAAAGAAAAAACTTAAAAAAAAAAAATAGAATGTTTTTATATTAGCAATTTCTTTAGCAACAACCTTTCCTCTAAGCATTTTCAATTTTTTACTTTTTGTAATATAACTGTAAGATGTACGTACCTCTCCGTTTAGAAAGCAAAATAACGTTGCTACACAAAGTCCCTGAAAAAAAATTTCATAATTTAAAATGTTAAATAAAACTATCATAAGTGTAAAATATTAAAAAAATAAATGAGGTATTAACTAATAATTAGAAAAAAGTGAAATACTACATTACAATTATAATTTGTGTCAATCGTATTGTGTACCTGCTACCGCTATACATATTATCACAGTATTACCTATACGATATGATCATAGTAGAATGATCAATGATCATTATAGAAAACAATTTGTATTATTATTTATTACAGTATGATAAAAATTAGATTTGTAATATTGTTTAGTTAGAACTTTAAAAATTCAAACTTTTCACTAAGAAATAGTTCATCGTGTGTAAAAGAACTTACAATATATAATATAATAAAGGTATTCAAAATAAAAACAAAATCATTTCTTTACCAAAATCTCATAAATTGGAGATGAATAAATAAAACAAAGTAGTTATCAGTTTTTTTTTAAATTAAAATATATTAAAACTATACTTTGAATTAGAATACTAATCTTTTAGAATATAATATATTGTATGGGTAATTTGAAAATATAAATAACATTTATTTTTAAATTTAATGCGTAAGAGCTTAATAAAAAATTGTAATATTAAATTGCGATTGGATTATCTTAACACGAAACGTGAATATAAACATTTGACTATTCCTATTACATAAACAAAGACGTAATGATTAGTTTTTATGTTATTGTTATACGTTTATTATCTATATTTATCTAAAATTTAAAATCAGACATATTTTCCCACTGGACTGTTTTCACCACATGTACACACCATATTTTTTAAAACAATTATTTGAATATGAAATTATTTTGTTGTCTTATATCTTTATTTGTTTTAGCTCCTAAAAGATAAGATAAAATACATTTTTTAATATTTCAATAAAAATAATTAATTATAGCTAATGTATTATTATAATCACAATACTTAATAAAAACCCATTGTAATAATTATAGTACTTATTAAGCTTTATTCCTTCTGAAATATGTTAAGAAATGTGTATACTATAATAATATAAGTTAATATTTTTACTATCATGACTAAGTACATACTTTGTTATATTTGTTTAGGTATGTTTATACTGTTCATCTATCAATTAATGATTTCAAAGACAGAAACATTGATGAACTATTGTTGAACATCGATAGAACTACCTACACCAATGGAAACAACAAAATGAAATGGTTTGTAATTAGTATGGTGTTTTCACTAATATTTTCTCCCTATGTATGGAATGTACAATGTAATGGTACAAAGAAAATCTTAGGTAAAACAAACAATGTAATTGATGGTTTCAATAATACATTTTAAAGTTTGATAATAACTGAGCATTGTAGTATTCTGAGGTTCATTGAGGCACTCCAGAGATAAAATTCACTAAAAACTATCTAATTGTTAAATATATAAACTGATACGTTTTTACAAGAAAAAAAATATGAACAAAGGCTTGAAAATATCTGTTTAGAGATAACAAAAGAAACAAATTTTTTTACAAAATGTATCAAGTTTTTTTTTTATTAATTACAATTTATTGAGAAAATATTTTAATTATTATATTTATTGAAATATATTACTAAGTGTTTCTTATAATTTATTATTGTTGTTCCTATTAGCTTATTTTATTGTATAAAATAGATAATATTATGTATTCTGTTATAAATGGTAAACAATAAAGTTTTATAATAGTAACGGGCTTTTGTAAAATAAAGTGATTATTATTATACTTGTTTAAAGCATTACTTATTTTTCAATAATATTTTTATTGTTTAAATAAACTATGACAAAAACATACAACTATAATTTATTATATTTATCATAAATATTTGAAAGTTTATCCCGTCTTAAAAAAAAAATTATATAATATTTTTAATAGAATACCTTAATTTAATACAATTATATTGTAATAATTTTTTTTTAAATATGAAGCATGAAGTCCGCATTAAAATTTATTGCAAGTGAAAATGTTCTAAAACACCGAAAACAGACAGAAGAAATTGTCAAATTTACAGATAGTAAGACGTTATCATATTATATCACTAACAACCAAGCATATACCTGCTTAAAATTAAATATACTCTTTGATGTATGATGTTTCTCGTAAAGTGTTCCCTTAGGCAAATAATAACATATATTACTACGTTCATTCGGTATAATACATTGATCAAATTCCACTAAAAACTATATAATTGAACTGTTTAAAATTATTAATAATAAGAAAATGTATATTTTAAATATCATATTTTACATAAAATTTACTTTCGATTTTAATTTATGACAACGTTTAAACGTATAATTGCTTCGAAATAGTTTGGTTGATTAATAAGTGAATTGTTTATAAATGTTTATAACAACGAATATTATATGGTAATTGGTTTTAAAATATTATATGTTATTATTAAAACATATTGATTGGTGTTTGAAAACAATTAATTTGCTCTTATTGTAGAGGGGATTGAAACAAACAACGGCAGCTGCCACCATGTAATTGTAATTTATTTTGTTTTGGCAGTAATTATAAAAAATATTCATACTCGATAATATTATTTTAATATAATTATAAGCACAGTCAGTGGCAGTGTTTACTCGATGCCCGTCGCCGAACAACTGAGGTCTGAGTGTCAGTATTCAATAAACATCAATTAGCAACTGTATCCCCATACGTTACATAATTTTTATTATAATACAATTATTTATGTTAATAAAATATTATAAAAATAGTCTTAAAATTAGATTATCTGATTATCAATTCATATTTACTGCCTAAAAAACATTCAGATTATAGTATGGTTTATACTATTTATTTCAAATTTGAATAACTATCGTCGTGACTATAGCATCGATATTATATTTAAGAAATTTTTGTACAGTAATTTATTCTGTGTTTAAAATTTACAACTGTATGGTACAGTGAAGAATAAACCACTAATTCTAGTTAATTTTTTTTCTATTTCTATACTAAAAAACCCTAAAAATACTATAGGTACTATTATGATTATGAACCATACGAATTTCTTAAATAAACGCTGTTCTTCAATTTTGGAGATACATATTTAACAGCCACAATATCACATTACTACTATAAAAGTAGTAGGTATGTAACTATTATAATATATCAAAAATATTCCCTGAAAATTATTTCTGTGATAATTATTATTGTTTTTGCATTAATATTTATAATAATGTTTGTGCTGAGGTTCAGAAAAATTCTTCATATAGAGGTCAGGGGATATACTGCTTAAAGTATAATATTATAGCATATAATTTATTATTGTGATCCATGGATCCAACTCAATATTGTAGTTGTCTTATCGATTCATTAATACTATCACTGATAACGGTGGTACTAGATAATCACAAAAAAGAATGTTAAAGAAAACAACCATCGGGTACTTACCTACATTAAAAAAATTATTCTTAGTGAATTTTGGTAGTGGGTTAAGAGTAATCCTTTTAACCTCTTTCTGCGTGTGTCACTAAACTTATGTATGTTTAGTTTGATTATGCTACATTGAATGAATATATATTGTTACTAAAATAAAACCGATAATGACTATTTCTGCTTTAACAATTAATCAATATGACTGTTTTAAATTGTCTAGGAGGAAGGTACTTTAAAGGCTAAAGTATTGAGTGATTAATCTTCTTTTTCTTTCTTTCTGACGGGGGTCGGTTAAAACTTAATAGTGTATGGATATTAACTGTAGGTTCTCGATATTTTCGTTTAACTAGAAGCACTAATAAAAAATCGTTTTAAAGCAATTTTATGTTTGAGTTTTCATAATTTAGAAGCTAAATGCTTAAACCATCTTTACATTTTTAGCACGAGGCTAATAAGCCAATAATTCAACGTGATTTCTGTTACAAGGTTGTTTTTAATTAATGGTGTATACGCCGAATATATTTTATTTACATATTTTTTTTTTGTATGATTAAAAAAAAAAACATTAAGTACCTAACACAGTCGATGCTTCGTATTTTTAATAAAATAATGTATTGAACTGTGTACAAATTTTAGTAAAATACAATTTTTTTAATAGTTTGGAGGAAAATGCAACATATGAAATAAAATAATTATATTATGAATCCTCCGAAATCGTTTAGTAATACATAAATACTGAATATTAGATATAATCTGTATAAGATTATTTATTTTTCATTTAGGAATAATATTGGAAATTTTATGGTATTATACCTTAACGAGAAAAGTTTATAATACAATATATAATTTCATAAGTTAGATACAAACTATAAGTACATTATTATGGTTTGATTACAATTTTTCATTTTTAAATATTTAAAGTTAAACTTCTATTTTAAATTTTAATCAAATCTTTTGTTTTAGTGCAAAATAATATAGTTAACTTTATTAATACAATGATCAAAAAAAGTGAATACTTCCCATTTTGTATATAAAATAATAAATAATATTATCATGACTAGTTCCAATACTAATATAGTAATATGCTTCTAGGACTAAAAATGTATAAAATTATTTGGACAGATTTTAAATGCTACAATAATAATATTGTTGTGAAAAACTTTTGACATAATAAACGCTAAAAACTGGTTTGTTATGAAAAACCTTTGACATGAATATTTTTATACCTTGTGATATTATTTCACCTTTAATATTTTTAATGACTACTAAATAGGTCTTTGGAGAGATTTGAAATTACTTTTTGCAAGACGCTAACGGCAATAATGTAATATAAAACTTATATTTTTTTAATAAATGTTGGTATTTTCAATTCAGATTTGCATCTTGTCGGGTTTATGACATTTTTTTACAATTCAAATTAATATTCTCTGTAAAAAAAAAGAATTTTTAAGTATGTTTTTTCGCTCCCATAAACTTATATTTACATTGTTTTTGTAGAACGCTTCACTAAGTCAGTAGTGTAATTTGAAGGACTACCGAGAGCATTATGCTGGTTATCTTAATTGTTCTACTTACCTGTATAATATTTTTCTATGGATGTAATACAATATTTTTAAAGTAGCTATAGTCACGATACCATTATAATAATAAAAAAACACATGTTTTCCTGCCCCTAACTAATATCATTATATTACCCATGTTAGTATAACACAATAATATTTTAATATTACAATATTTGGTATACTTTGGTTTGATTTGCAAAGGTCTTAAATCGATTTTATTAAATTTCCATGATATTATGAAAAATAAAAAAGAAATTTCGAGTTTTAAGATCAAATACTTTTATCTTCTATTGGGATTTTTATGTACAAAAAGTATTAGCATAACATTATCAATAAACAAACAACTTGTATGAAATGTATTCTATCGTAATAATAATTCTATCGATACCACGTTTATTGTTCTACCTTTTAGATAACCTTTGTCTATACACAGTAACCAAAATTAAAATTAAATCTATATATATAAAAATGGATAAAATATTTTTAATACATATATTGACACACTTAATTCCTTAATAAAATAATATACGTTCGTAAAAGTTTCAATTCCGCACAAAAAATATTTTTGAATTACAACATAATGATCGAAATAGTTATTTTTCGTATAAATTCTAATTTAGACAAAACTTCAACTTCAAATATCTGCTTTTTTAATCTAATTAAATATTCTATGGTATTTAGATAAAATTTCAAATGAATTATCTGTTATATTATAATATATCTAGATATTTTTCAATTATCTTTGAGGATAGTCGACTTGGCAAAACAGGGTGAACAATTTGATCTAGATTTACTCGATGTATGTATTTTTAGTTTTCTAATTTTTACCACGATAAACCAAAATGCATCGCAAACACACTCACTTGAAATGATGACGTGGTGGCTGACACGACTTCGTAAAACGGTTCCCAAGGATGTTGTTTGGGCGGCCGGAACGGCGTGAGCAGGTAGTGGAGTCCGAGCAGTGGCAGCAGCAAAAGCGTGGCCCTGAACGCCTGCAACAGCGTTCGTGATGGCGTGCTGTTGGACAGATGAGACGGGCCGGCCTGAAGCTTCACCCATAGGACTCGGACGATGTTGCACAGGAACACCAGGTTAAGAGCCATCGACATGCACACGGGCACCACCAGCACCTCCGTGAACGGCGACTCGTTGATCCAACACCTGCAAGTGACGGAGGTAATGAGAAGGGCTAGGGACTCCATGTGCTCTAAAAACACCTTAAGATATGCATTCACTTGTTCCTTAAAAAAAATTATCAAATATGCTTAAAAATATGGACAGTTATTAAATTGATGCTCATAACCTTCGGAACAAAAGTGTTATATTATTATGATTATATATTCAAATTACAAATTTAAGTTAGTAGGTAATATGAATAACAATTGAATTGAGAAGTGCTGGAGTATCTATATTAATATTATAGAAAATAATGACTGAAAATATTGAATTTTACATAATATATAATATATTATAGTTATTTTCATAAATTAACAATATTGTGTAAGACAAACTTGTTAATATCACCAATAGAAACCTAAAACCATATTGTTATTTTAACTTCATCAAAACTTTTTTGGAAGAACTTAAAAGTAAAAAATAAAACGAAAAGAATTTGAAAAATTTGAAAAATATGCAATTACAATAAAATATGAACTTATAAATAAAAAAGAGAAAAATTATGTATGCAAAATATTTGAAATTCTTATTTTAATAAATATGCTTGGTATTAAGATTATTAAACATATTTCTACGAGTATTCACATTTTTGAACACTTACAAAATTGGTTACCATCCTTCCCTCAACCACACTGAGATGACCCACACTCGATATTTTTGAGTAACAGATTTCTGCGGTAACTATTATGGTGTTTGTTTACCACCTGTTAATTTATATACGTTTGTGATATTAAAATTTCAGAAATAACGAGTTTTCATCAGGTGTCGTTATTTTTTAAATTAAATATATTCAGTAAACGGTTAATTTAAATATTGAATACTTTTTTTTTAAATTATAAATTAATATTTTACAACAAATTTAGTTTTTCAATTTAATTATCATATAAACATGATGCAGTGTATGCAATAATAATTGATTATTATTTGAACGGAAAAAAAAACAATAACCGCTTTACAGACGTTAATGAATAAAGAGATCAGTTTTGTATTTAAATGATTATTTTTTAATTTAACAAAGCAATAAAATATATATTGGTTTTAAATTATAAAAAGCCTTAAATTATGCATTTTTTAATTTTGATTATTGTTATCTTTTAACATGGACTCTTTTTCTGAAAACATTATTATAATATCCGAAATGAGGGCTTAACAAATTGTAAATAGTGCCTTTGAAGATAGGAAATCAAGACTCAATAATTATAGTACTTGGAACCAATAATTTATTTTCTTAATAAAATGTTTTAAATCGTAAACAAAACTATATATAGTCAACTTTCAACCTATTTATAAAAAAAAAAACATCTGAAAGCGTCGTTATTACAGAGTTACTCTCTGAATAGTTTATTGAATTTAATGATTACAAAAATAGTAAAGCTATCTTGTTTTTATAACATACCAGTTAGATATATTGATGAACATTTAAAAATAAGTAAAAACAAAATTACACGATATATAAATTGAGACATTGCGTATATTATTATATTAGTTTATAATTTATCATTATTAATGTAATTAAATTACACCACCATTTTAATATCTGTTAAGTATCGTAAATATTAATAAATAAATATTAAAATAAAAATATCTGAACATTAAAGTGGGTCAAAAAAAAAAAATATATGATAAAAACTTAACGAAATAAAAAGAATGACTAACAAGTGACCACCGGTCCACAAACAGTACAAACAGAAAAAAAGAATTTGTAAACCAGACTAAGAATAGGCCATACAAAGCTAACCCATGGTTTCTTAATGGCCAAGAGGTCCCTCCAATATGCATCAAATGCGGAACTCAAATCATCACGAAACACATTTTCACAGATATATGAAAACGAAAGAAAAGAAAATAATTTACCAGAGCACCTTTATGAAATTCTTGTATTCCAAATAGAAGCGACCAACATATTGTTGTAAGTAATAACATATTTTCCAAAACTTTTTATAGAATTCTATAAACTAATATAGTAATACATTTAAAGAAATAGAAATAATTGTAATTAAAAAATGAAATACGTTAATAACTTTTATTGTTGAAGTAATTTGTTCAGTTATATAAAAAAAAAAGCAGTAATAAATATTGGAGTATTGTGTACGAAGCTGAAGACGAATATGAGCTCTAAATAATTAAAAGTACATAGCAAATTTTTCTACATAAAATTCTCTGCATTTTTTAATGGAATTTTATACTTGGTAAGCTTTGTTCTGCACCATATACTTGTACATATATAATAAATAGATTCATTTTGTATTAAAATGAAAACTCCATGTTTATGAATAAGCAACACAATCCGTATAGGTATATAACCATATAAAATGATTGTATGAAAAAAAATGACTTCAAAAATTATTTTATTAGGTATATACTTTATATAAAGTCAACATGGGTACCTATAAAGATCGAAAGTAACCATAGAAACAAAATTTGCGACGCCTGGTCGGACATAACGAGCATAATACGTATTACGAAGTACTTACACCTTTTTCTGTTACGTTTATATATATTATTATTATATTATATGTATATTGTATATGTTGTGTAAAACCAATAATTCAGGAGAGGTGAGTTCTAGTTGTTATCATCATTGTTTTACCAATAATATTATAATCACCAGAATACACATGCACGTGGTCGTCCTCTCCCTCTCTTTCGTTCTATACACATGACATCTAAATTATACATAGATTTATTGTTATTGTGTTTGTAGGTACCTATCATAAAATCCGTATACGGTATACTAACACAAAAATAACACCACTAAAAAAAACAACCCCAAACCGCAGTAAATATCTTACGTTTGGCTACAAATTTGCAATTTGAAAATAATTATTTGCGCGTTCATAAACAAATAGACCGCAATAAATACATATTGCGAAAATTGATCGAAAAAATACGTATCAATATGGTTAAATACGACAAGGTAAAGTGTAAAATGAAATTTTAATTAAAAATGATTTTTTTGTATTATTTATCTGCGTCTATGTCCACGGGTAACTGACTTATACGAAACAAAAAAAATAAATATTGATTTTAACAGTATATTATTCAAAATATTTAATTTGATTAAAATGTATGATAAATATTGCTAAAATAATGTCTATAGAATATAGACATGTGGACAATTACCACATTAATTAAACAAAAACCATCGGTTTCCTAATAAAATACATTATGCGATGATAAACAATTCCAAATTATAGTCGTAAGTGAAAGTGCATATAAAAATGTCCTAAAATTAATTTCGGAAATTAAATCTTATTGGATTTAAACCGTTTCGTTTAATTACCTTTTGGACAATAACAAATCGGAATAATAAAGTTTAAACACTATATACTTGACAATTAAAATACTGTGAAAATTAACTGTAAGTATTCGAATTTTAGACATAAAAACAAATCATAAAATCAAATTAATATATTCACAAACTATAAGGACGGTTTGAATATTTAAAAGTTATTACTGAAAAACTTCTCGGCAGCGATCAGCGTTAAAAAAACCGCATAAAACGTTTTTATTTTCACTAGATTTATTACAAAAATAACTGGTAGACCATCAATTTATTAAACCCCATTACTTACAGAGACACAATTTTAAAATGTGAAAAAAAAAATACTATGTAATACTTACGGTAAGAATAAAAAAAATTTGTACTTAAATTTAAGTTTACGATAAATATAAAAAGTAACTTTTAGATAATTTAAAGTTTTTGTTGAAATGCGTCAATATAAAAATACAAAATAAATAATGCAATAAAATCAAATAGGTTGACGAATAAAATATCGTCTTTGTTGGGCAGATAGCATCGTTACAAACATTCATCCCATACAATATAACTTTATTTTAATGATACGCATGAGTTTATTTGTCTATTAAGTCAGACGTAAATGCTATAAATGGTTTTTGAGTGACAGCGACTGCTGATGCAATAACGGTTGGATAGTAGATAAACTATTGAATTATAATATAAAACAATTATTTAAAGTCGGATAAGTTATTATAAACTTGCCACCATTGATGTACCATTCAATTCGAAAAATGATTATGCTTTGAAATAAGACAACTAAAGTTTTGATGGGTTTTCTAATTTAATAAACGATTAATAAAAAGTGAATAGCTAAAAAATTCTGAGAAATCTGAGAATTATTATATTTTACTAACTATGTACATATATGTATAAAAACGATAAGTCTTTAAAATTACCACTGATTTTTATTGCACAATAATGAGGTACTTAAGCTGTGGCCCAATTAATAAATGTAATACTTTTAAGCTTTCGGAAATCTAAGAACGTTTTATTAATCGTATTAATTATAATTTATTAATTACAAAACTAAAAACCACAGGTAAGTTAAAAAAAAACAAAATTGTACAACACTCCTCAAAGCATTTTTAAATTTATTTAGTAGTTCAAGAAAGTTCAGTTGAGACTTGAGATTGTTGTGATCTTTGTAACTCAGGAGCAGCTTATTATTTAAAAAAATAACTATACTTATTTATTATATTATATTTGTGTTTGAAAAATATACAAGTGGTAGGTCAATTATTCTGTAGAGAATGTAAAATATGTGTTGTTATTTAATATTAATATCATGTCATTTACAAAAATGGCATGAAAGTACAATTGTAATTATTACTATTAAAACTACGAAATTATGTTTTACATCAAATCAATTATTCTGAATCCTTTAACTGATTCATCAATATCAGATTGAATATTGCTTTTTTTATTTTACTACCTAACATAATATACATTAATCAATGTAACATATATGTAGTATTAATTAATTTGGATCATAATTCAGTTGATGATCGGTCATAAATAGTGTATAGTGAAAACAGTCGAATCAATTTCTAAATTTAAATTTATGAAAACTTTGATATTTTTTTTAGCTTACCATTTAATAGATTTACTTATTTAACCATTAATGTAGAACTTAACATTCAAATCTTTTCCAGTTTTTATTTTATATTGTGGGGTTTAATCACTAAAATAAACAATTCCTTTAAACCATAATATTATAGTTTGTAAATAGTAATGTTATTGATACAAAATTTAATTCAAACAACTTATTTCAATAAACTTAAGTGAAAATAATCATAGCTTATCAAATATCTAGTTAAGTTGTACCAAATTTTTCATTAATTTATATAATTTTTACAATATTACAGTCTATTAAATGTTCAGAGTCATTAGTCATGTTATATTTTTTTAAAGAACCAAATAGATGTTTGTAATAAAAATAAATTTACCATCAAAAAGATAATTTTGCAACTTCTATGTAACTCTATATGAGTTTAATGAAAAATAATAGCCATCAGCCATATAGGCTTTAAGCCTTATCATATGTTGTATTATGCTCAATAAAAATACAATTGCTATAATTTTTCTAAAAGTATTGGAGTATCAAAATCAAAATTTGAACGAGTAGTTTTTGAGTTGCTTAACTTTGTGTAGGCACTAAGATTCATGATTGGGACTGGTTTGGGAGATATAGGGTTTCATTGGGATTTTTAATAATTTATTAATTTATCAATATTTATAACTTATAAAAAAGGTTCAAGTTTAGTAAATAATAGATCCGATATTATATCTATTATATATTTTTGTAAAAACATTATAAACAACTTAAAAATTACTATCGTTTGAATTTTGAATTAAGGAGGTACAACATTGTATTAAAAAAAAAACCACTTAATATTTTACAGTAAAAGAGGAGATTTCATATGAAAAACGGAAGTTTGTACCGCCATAGTACACAGTACCCAAAAAATAGCTACTACTACGAGTATCTTAAAATATTAAATAGTACGAAATATCTCAAGAATTTGCAATTTTTTTCTTGAAATATATTTATAAATTCCAAAAATCTGAATTTGAATAAATGAAAAAATGGAGTTGAGCATTCTTGATGGGGGAAAAAAATTACACTGTATTATATAAATTCATTAGATTAATATTACATAAAAACATCAGCGCCTAATCATTGACTTTTATATATATTTTGCTTCGGGCTTCCATGATTTAACTAGTTATCACAAATGAAAATTGTGAACTATAAAAAAGTGTTTATATTAACTGATTTTTAATATTTCTCCTTATTCTGATGAACGATTTTAATTTTCCCCTTATGATTTTTGAAAAATTCTTTGATTGCATTCTCAATTCCTGTTATTTTATTTACCACATTATAGAGGTAATAGAATATAGAAAACACCATCGGAATAAATTGTTGGCAAATGGAACACGCAATAAATTAACCGTTAGAACGATTTAAGTTGATTTCTGGTGTACTTAAAATTGTTTACATTTTATCGTTCACTGAATGTTCACCTTAACCGTATATTTTATACTCTAAAAAACGTACGCAGTACTGATGAAACATAATTTTTCGAAATATATTTTATGTTACCCATTTAAATTAATACGATTAATTTGAAATAACTCTTTGTGAGTGTAATCGATTAGGCACCTGTACAAAATTATCTGTCAACATTTAATTGTCAATGAACATCGAATAAATTAATAGTTGTTGTAAATATTTGTACAGTTATATAGGTACTACAGTTTATATTAGATTTTAGTTGAAGCATTTGGTGTCAATATAATTTTATATAAATACTATATATATCTAGACACCTAAATTGTAATAAATAGTATAAACCTACACTAAATTAACTTTACTGTTTAACTATTTTATAAACTATTCCAATGTTTTCGAATTATTACAGTTGACTGTGACTATTAAGCTCCATCATTCAATTTATTTCGACTTATTTAATTTTTTATTGAGAATGCAATTTACTGTTTGCTTTTAATTAAAATCGTTTAAATATTTTTTATGAATTAGATTCAATGCCGAAAATGTCATAACACATTACGATACAACGCAGTGACTAAAAGTGCACCGCTAAACGGTGAATATGACTTCAAATGGTTATTGTTTTCGTTTAAAATAATTAGTTAAACAATTATTGGATTATTACTAAAAATCACAACATTCGTGCAACTTGAATGTTTAAATTTTTATTATCTAGTGTTTATTTCCAAAAATCACTTAGATTAAACCACGTATTTTCAATTATTGTCATACGATCATCTGAAAATCCTTGGCTGTACAGTGAACGTGCAGGACCACTATTTTTTTCCACAACTATACTTTCTACCCATATTGACATAGTCTGTAGAACTGATTGTATTCTCCTGTCTTATCTTGTAGTCTTTTTTTTTGTTTTTCGATTGATTCCAGTTCGGCGATTCACCGTGGGATATTTAACCTACTGAGTTCATCCGACTCCCCGTGCTATTTTCAGAAGAATATTACTACTAATGAAATAATTATAAAATAAAATATATGAAAACTGCCAACTGCTAAATAGCGTAATGGCTCTACTTGTCCTCATTAACATATACCTCCATATTATAAACTACTTTTACACAACAAATTTCACTTCTAATTACTTTGTAAATAATTAAATTAAATTGTTCAAATTATATTTTTAGTAAAAAAAAAACGGTTTTAATTTATTTTACTTTGTACCTGCCAAAGTTTAGAATTCTAAGGTTAGGTTAGGTTAGGATTTGCGTACACATTGATGTAAATCAAAAAGGCGTAAAAATATAAGTATAAAAAATCTTTTGTTGTCAATAGTATCTATATGGTAAATTTATACGTCAAGCAGTTAATAAGTCTTGGTATATCATTATTAAGAGATGTTTGAAAATCAATAAGCTCTTCGCTGTGTTCTGTTAAAAAAAATTTGTCATAATTGCATGTGTATAATTCGTGATTATTTACCACATTAAAATAGTTACTCTTGTAATTGAAACTTTTTTCAAACGTTTAAATACATAATAAATTTTTACTCACTCGGACGTGTGGTCGTTGATAGTTCGTAGTAATGTGTACAGCGAAATGACGACCAACGGAGTTGACCAGGCCAATGTCCAAGACCATCGGACCAGAGTATCTTCGGACGTAAAGGCAAACACAAGAAGAGTGTGCAAATAAAAACCTTCAGCCAACATCCATGCATAGTTGGTTAGCAAAAAATAGTGCAGAATAACGTGTAGTATTTGACACCACCACTGCAAAAACAGTATATTATTAGTAAATATTCAAACTCATTTAATTTCTGTCGGAAAATTCTGGTTGAAAAAATTTACTATGGTTATATTATAAATGTATAACACTTCACGAAAACGGAATTATGCTTGAGTTAAAAAACATTGTTTCAAAAAAATGTTAAAAGCAACGGATCGAAATAATTGAAACATGTCACAGATATTTAATAGTATTATTATTTGTATGATTAATCAGGGCTATTTGTTAGTCTTCAATTAAGTATTTGTACAGTTGTCTGACTTCAGCGAGCATTTATTTTAAGTTAAAAATAAATGCTAATGACTAGATATTAAATTCAAAACACATATCAGTGCTTTCGTTTTATCTATCATTAGCAAGCCAATGAAGTGGTTTAAAAAAATAGATAAAAATTCACAACATGCACATCGCCTAAAAACCACAAATTAAATTGTATTATAAATTCAAATGACGACCTTGTTTATAATAATATAATTTCAATTATTAATATTAAATATGATAACAACGAAGTTGTATTTAATTGTTCATTAAGAATTTCATGAACTAACATTTTAAGGAATTTTATTTCAAAACAAGTAAATGTGAAAAATTGTATAGAATGATTTGTTTTTCGAAACACATATTATAAAGTTCATAACAGACTTTAATCACCACCCTCGATTGGACATTACGAATTAACTATTATACCTGGAGTTCATTATTTACTTTTAAATGTAATATTCTAATTTTAGTGTAATTTCTGAGACGAAAAAAGATTTTTCAAAATGTATTTAACTGCAAATTAAAAAAAAAAACCAAATTAAATCTATTACAAATTCATCAAACGCGAGTAGTTTAATCTATTCAACAAATTTAATCAAACAATTTAGTGGAAACTTTTACGGATGAGTTAGAGTTAGCTGTAATGAGGAATTAGATTTATAAGGAAACTATTTGAAACCTCATTTATATTCTTTAGCTGAGATCAGTTAAAACTGAAAATATTTACTCTTGACTGTATTTAAACTAATCTTCTAATTAATCGTATTTGATCAAATCTGAGCCGATTTAAACCAAAATGTATTATGTTCACGGTATATCGTACGATTAAAATTGCTTATCAACCGATATTAAAATAATATCATAATTAAAATCGTAAGCACCTATTTCGTTTGTTTTATTTCGAAAGTAAAATTAACGAAGAAAAAATGAATAAATGATTTAAAACAATATAATTTCCTTAGTTCCTCAGTGCTTGAGTGCTAACATTGAGTTTAATAAATATAAAGGAATCCCACGTGTGCTTGCTAAAAAAAAGTTTGACTTTTACGATTAGTTTTTTCTTCTTTTATAGTTTTACCTTACGATCGTATTGAGTAAATATTTTTCCACTGTGACCCTTCACGTTAAATATTTTACGAATATACGTTTTCTTTTTTAATAACGCTTAAAAGATCCTTGATTATATACCATTCATTTAAAATGATATTTTAACGTTAAAAACTATGAAAAATACACCGATAAGCTTGTGGGTTTTAGTCCATTGGGTTGACAATCATTAATACAAATAATAATTTTACCTGATTGAAAACGCAACAAAAATGAATACAATAATTGCATACTGAGGTAGCTTTAGTAAACGGATTGATGGACTATAGAGTTTATTATTTATTTAAAAAAATATCAGATAAATAGTTAAATCGTTTATAATAATATTTTGGTTCAAATAGTTTATTAGCCGGTGGTTAGATGGTAGTTGAATAAAACAAAAGAACAATGCGTTTATTGACTATAGTTCACTTGTCAAGACCTATTGAATGGGGTGTGACTGATAATCAACTAATGGAATTCAATGTGGTTGAAAAATTATTAGGGAATAGACAGCAAGCCAATGTCTTCTCATTTGTTAGGGTACACGTCAAGGCCTCTGTTGGATCCGGCACCTGACAAACGTTACTTTTACTCAGAAAAAATAATTTTGTGAAATCCATAAATTTATCATTGTTACATTGTTATACATTTAAGTACTTACTAATGGAAAAATATAATTTAAAGTTATTCAACAGTTTAAAAGTTATAATAATTACAAAAAGTATAATTTTTGCAATAAAAATATATTTTAGCAAATAAATTTTCTAAAATGTAGTACGTTATAAAAGAAACTTATATCTAGTAATAAATAGACCATTTGTGGATGCAATGGTGCATATTACATTATAATATACTGTCTTGCTGTAAAACATTTGTTTATTCGATAACTTCTGAATATAATTTAGTAAGGTAAATTAAGTTTTTCTATAATTTAATTTAATTTTGAATTTATATTTACAGTTTTATCATTTGTATTTTCATGATTTAAATTTTGTACACATTTATACATGTTAAATATATTTACCAATTTTGTATAAATATAAAAAACTTTAGGTAGGAAAATAAAAACAATTTACACTCGAGCAAAGTCAAGTTTAAAGTAAAGCAAAATTCAAGTGTACATAACATATTTTTACAAAAAAATATTTCATACAGATACAGTCGAATACAATAACTATGTACGAATATAATACTATTATAGGTACCTATATAAATATTTGATTTTCAAAAAAAATATTTATTTAAATTCCATACGTTCAAAAACGATAAAAAATGGGTCTGGTTTTTATTCTTAGAGCTTTTTTTTTTTTTTTGTAAGTTATTTAGTAATACAAAGGTAGGATTATACATAATGTATAGGTTTTTAAATGTTAGTTTCAGTTACAAACGAAAGAAAAATTATTAAACTAGCTCATTTATAATATCTTTTGAATTTGTGGTGAAACATGGATGAAAACTAATGGTTCTGAAAACACATTTTAATACTACAGTTGTGATATTAAAATAATTATTGAAATCATAACTTATGTTTAATATTTTGACTTTTATTTATTTTAAGTACCTAATGTATTTATAAAGAACATTTTTCAAAACTAATTGAAACTTAGTTTTATAAATTATGTAGTATTAACCTATGAACAGTAAATTCGTTTATTTAATTATATATTTGTTGAAGTTTACGTGATTTGGTAAATTATTATTAATAAATTATCACCCACAAGGTTGACACGCCTATTTACATGCTTTATATTTTATCAAACATACATTTTAACTGTGGAAACAATCAGTAACCATTACATTCATTCAATGAAAAATGCACATTTTTAATCCTGAAACGCCAAAAACGTCAAAGTCAAAGTCAAATTAAATTTATTCATTAAATAGCTTAATCATAAATGACTATAATAAATATAATTATTAGGAAATAAAAGGATGGGTATGAAAACAAGATTAATTCCTTGATTTAAATGCAGGAACTTGAAACCCAATTAGAGATAAAAACTTGGGATATTATATTACCATTTAATGAATTATGCACCAACACTACATCGAAATATTTATGTATATTCGTCATTTACCTAAGCCGCTGTGGTTAGGAGTTTTAGTAGATGGCGTTTTGGGAAAACCTATTTTGTACTCCAACATATAAATAAAGTGGTTTTATAATTTTCGAAGTTTTTCAACTTGGCAGGCCTGAGATTTCTGTAGGATTCTTAACTGTCGCAGATTTTATAATAACATAATATAAAAGATTTAATACAGTACTTTTAAGATGGATCGAATATTTGAATATTAAGAATTTAAGTTTTTAGTTCATTAGTTCATTTTTAACAAATTAATCATACCTATGCTTTAAAATTATAACCTGGTTTTTGTAAATTGAACTAATTATCTTCATGATATTTCTCTCATTAACAACAATATATTATTTTTAATTACAATTTCAAAAAAAAGTTAAATACATGTTGGATATTGTACTACTTAGTGTATTCATTTTTATAAAACTTTGCATGGACACTAAATACATAACTTCAAAATATTATAAACTAAAATCCAGTGAAAATTGCATAAGTAGTTGTTTTTCATGGTGAAAAATGCAAATTTGCGAATTGGGTCAGGGGGTAGGCCATGTGTGGCACATTATAACACCCCGTCAGATTCGTGTTTCACGACTCGACTGTAAACAAAACATTTTCCAGACAACAAATAAAAACATGTAAGAATGTCTGAGTTTGTAGACGGTTTACTTATGAGTGAAGTAATATATTCACTCTTGGTACATATATGAAGTTGCAAGAAAATAGGGGGAATAGCATCTAATGGCATACAAACCGCTAAAAGGACCTTAAACGTGATTAATAAAGGTCGGACTGTTAAATAGTTACATGCAACTCGAAAAATAAACGCTTTTTGAATATTTAAACAAGGTAGGTATGTGAAATTTACGGAAAACTATATGGTGCGTTAATAATACAAAAGTGAAAAAAAAAATGTAACGTTTTCGGTTTATTTAAATAATGCGATAAAAGCGCAACAGTGAGCAAAAATACATGTATAGCGGTCTTGTGTACGATGAAAATAAACACGGCGCTGATGAAAAACTGATAGGAAATTATTATTTCGAGAACATGTTATTATATAAGTTATTATAACATAGCAGTATTATCTCGCATGTGGTTGTAATATGCGAGAGTACTCGTGACAGCATAATATTTTCTATTCGAAGGTAAAACGACGGAGGGAAGAAAAATATTGTTATTGTGCTGGGTTCGAAAACCCTGTGGGTATTTTGTTAGAAAGCCTCACCTACCGTCGTCTTCGGTTAAATTTATGCACAATGGCTCAGAAATTTACATACCCCGTTGTGAAGTACGACTGACGGATGCTCGACGACCAGCCTGTACCACAGCAGCCATAGGAGGTTATTGATAGCGAACGACGTGAACATGTGCGTGTGCAATGTGTTGCGTGCACATCTCAGAGACCTGTAAGTAAAAAAGGTAAACGGTTAGACGCATAATAATATATTATTATGTTTTGAATTATTATGTCGCGTACAATAGTTAGGTAACTGATGTGTATTGTTGATGCGAACCCGTAATGGGTTTTTCTGCTACGGATTCCGACGTAGATTTTACGCGACAAGTAGTTGAATATTTTGTTATCGTTATGTTCGATTCGGTATGAGACTACTATGGGCATTTGGAGACAAAAATCTATTCAATTAGTGTGGGCATAAGTTTAGTTTATATACCTACTGGTTGTCTTAATGAATTGTGATATTGTCGGCGGAAGACGATAATTACTAATATTGGATAATAATATATATGTATAGGTAAAATATTATTTGGTTTTGGTAAAAATGTAAAATAATGTGGATAAATTTACGTAATTGCATTTTCTAAAAATTAATGATTTGTGAAACGCAATGTAACATTTGGGGTCAAAAGTTTAACAATTATAATAATTGTATACGTATTGTTTTAAATATACTACAGTTCGTTGCATATATATTGTAAAGTATATCAAGCAATTGTCAATTATGGATTAAATTCTTATTACATTTATAAACAATATTGAATACAAATCTAAAATCAAGCATAGGAATTAATAGTTATCTTAAAAGTAAACCGAAGTCAATGCAATGCTTTTATGTTAATAGTGTCATGAATTATTTGTATTTTCAAGGCAGGAAACAGGATTTCAATGTTCAGTTTTTTGAAAGGTACATCATTAATCTCAATGCGCAGGACACATTACATATGTAACACAAGCTTATGTTGAATTTTAAGTAAATTGGAATCATGAAAACTTATTTGACGTCAGGACATCAGGGGTTCATATTTCATTTGTAAATTGACAAATAAACATAATTCAGTGTGTGTTATATCTTGATGGTTGGTTAGCGGTAAGTCGAATACTCGAAGCACAGAACATATCAATCGAATCAAGTTCAATCAACACGTATAGTTTAGACCCTACTTGTAACTGCATATCTTTTAAATAATTTAATTATTTCGCTACTAAATTTTATACTTCTATCTTGGTATTTCACATTAATATTAAAATTATATAAATCTTAAATAATTTAATATTTGCATCAGTATTGGCTTGCATGTAAACATCTAATAATTAATTGCAATAGGTAATCATTGCATTTTAAGTTTTTATAAATTCCAGTGTAAATTGTATAACTTATGAAATTAATGTTTGAGAATTTTTTTAAATCTTATATAATTATATTAAATACAAAATGGTGCGTTGATAAAGTATACTTGTCGAATTGATTATCGCAGTATATATCAAACTATTTTCTAACTGAATATGAACTTCAAAGGACATTCTGTGATATTTTGAAAATTAAACGAGCTACTGAAGAAGTATAAGGAAAGTTCATTCCATTGTCAATGAAACCAAATATATACTAATGGTGGGAATATGTAAAAGAGAATACCTATTGTAATTCAAAGTTCATTCATTGGCTTCGTTATAACAACATATTATCCGATATTGAGGTATTATTTTTGAAAATATTTAGGACTCATTTTAGCCTATGAGCTGTATATTAGAGCTTTATTATTATGGACCTAACATATTATAATCTATGGATGACGTTTTTAAAATTATGTTCGATTTTTTAAATAAAAAATTGAACTCAAAATTGTTTTTGTATTTAAATATTCAAAATGTATTAATATACACAGGTACCCTATTTGAAAGTATAAGTGAGAAAAAATCAAAATTAAAAATAAAACATAAGAAATAAAGTTATGCACCTTAACGTCTTACAAAAGAACATCTTAAACAAAATGTTAATTGTTTTTAGGTTGTATTAAGAGTTCATTTAAGGAATGTAATTATTTATCATTACTTTTAAATATGAAGGCATTCGTGGTGAATGTCCAACTCAATCTTTATTATTGTTATTATAATTTATGGGGATACCTTTACTTTTGACTTAACACTCATTAGTCTAATGTGGTCTATCATTACTCATTATAGATCGTATTACCTGTCTTATTTTAAAAATATTATTATTTATTGGGCACTTTTATTATTAAATTATTTTAAAAAGTTACTTATACTATTATAAAATAAAGTTCTTTAAACACGATAGTTTGACAATAGAATTAAAAAAAATCATGGTTACATAATATATTACAGAAATAAGTTTTAGATAGTCCATGAAGTTTATTATATACATAGCATACCATTAGATTTAATAGGGTTAAAAATTAGATAAGTATAAAAACTTCTTCTTCAAAGTAAAATTAAGCCAATTATTAACTATTTTATGGGTTCAGAAGATATATATTTTTATTTATATAGAAAATGGGTTTATACCAAAATTCAAAATAATTGTAATTTTATTCAAAATTAAACGCTTAAAAATATAATATAAGATATAACCTTACATAATATTATGCATTTTGATGTATAATTAGTAGAACAGTAACTTAAAATAAATGAAAGAACGATATCCGTACCGAGTACCCAAATATGTAGAGCCATTAAGTTAAACAAACTCTATTCAATAAAAACACAAATTAGCGTGGTATCAATGCAATTGTACACAAACCCTCCAACTGAGATCAATTTCCCCGACACACACATACACACACACACACACACACACACACACACACACACACACACACACACACACACACA